CGGGCTTCAGGAGATGGGGAGATGGAGCAGCCGTCGACCTCGAGGACGAAGTCACCAACCTTCTGGAGCAGGGCCTTGGGTGCCACAACCATGAGCTCTGTGTTATTGCTGTTCAGCTTAAGATAGTTGGAAGACATCCATGTTTTGATGTCATGCAGGCAGTTGATGAGAGACTGAGGGGGGAGCTGGGAGGATGAAGTGGTGCTGAGATACAGTTGGGTATCATCAGCGTAGCAGTGGAAATTGAGCCCATGATGTCGGATGATCTGGCCGAGGGGGAGCATGTAAATGGTGAACAGGAGGGGGCCAAGCACAGAGCCCTGGGGTACACCGTGGTGGACTGGGGCCGGGGGTGAGTTTGAGCCACTGATGGAGACAAACTGTTTCCTGTTGTGGAGGTAGGATGTCAACCAGGACAGCGCTGTGCCAGTGACACCTAGGAGGTCTGAGAGGCGGGTGAGGAGGATGTTGTGAGAGATAGTGTCAAACGCTGCAGAGAGGTCCAGGAGGATGAGGATGCTGAGACGGCCAGAGTCAGCAGCAATGAGGAAATCGTTGGTGATCTTGATGAGGGCGGTCTCAGTGCTGTGTTGCTGTCTGAAGCCAGATTGGAAGGGCTCATAGAGCTCATGGTTGGACATGTGGAGATGGAGTTGGCCGGAGTTGGCTTCTACTTTCTTTCCCTCTCTTTTCCTTACATTTATTTTTCAGTGATTTGGTATTGTACGTTCTTTTCAACCTGGAAATGTGTGTATACAGTATATATGTGTAAGCATAGGTATATATATTTTTTTTTTGTGTATGCGTGTATTCATATAAATACTGTACACACATGGAAACCTACCATATAAGTTTGTTGGTAAAATGCTGAACACTTGGATCCCTGTCCAATATCGTTGAATTGAATTAGTAGAGTAAAAAAAGTAACTCAGGAAGAGAGAGAGAGAAAAAAAACGTCTTCTAAAACAAAACAATCGGAAAGGGCTCAACTCAAATAGGCTCAGGAGCCTGATAAATACAGACCAGGGCTGTTTTTTCTGTACTTAACATTTAAGACAAGTGAGCGAAGCCAAATAGTTTAGTTTGTCAAAGGAAATCGTCTCCTGAGAAAGACAACAGTGAGGAGAGCAGCAAAGCGTGGTGGTGTTCTGACAAGGCCTCAGAAAAACAAATGTTCCAGAAAGAGTGGGGACAAAGCAGTGTTTGAATTGTCCAGAGAACTCCAAACACAAAGTGTGATAGAAGAAGGGGAAGAGGGGTTCAGACAGCATGACGGAGTGTGAGCAGTAATGAAGCTCCATAGACTGAGGTGACTTTACTGTGGGTAAAGAGGAGTGAGGTGACAGGGAACTCTCTCAGGAACATACTGTACTCTTCCTCTTCCTCCTCCTTCCTCCTCCTCCTCTCTAAATTCTTCCCCCCAATCAATTATTCATCCCTCCCCACCACCACACCATAGGAAGCATGCACCGTGTATACATGCTCTCTCTCTGGCTCCTTTCAGAAGGAGAATGGGCCAAGCGTTTACGCCCGTGGTGGATTATATACAAAAACAACAACGCCATACATTTGTTTCATTAAAAACAGAAGACTGCAGCTTTTGAAATATTCAAATACAGCAGAATCAGAGTCGCAGAGATTTTAAAGATTTACTCAGACAAAAGGACAAACCTTCTGCACTCACAGCAGCATCACTAATACGAATAAAGCTCCACTTCTTATCGATTATGTTCAAGAAATGTCACCTCCTGACCAAAAGTGTTAAACTTGTTACATCAGTAAATGTGTAAATATTTGAAAGGAATCTGAATGTGAACATTTCTATGAGGACTACTTTCTTCACCTCCCAGCTGTCACATTTAAATAAGAAACAGCCAACAATAGATCCTGGGTTACGGTTAGGGTTTAGGTAACAGTTTCCTTTTTCAAATCCAATTTTGTCAAAAGGAACATGGTTTTCCCCAAGCCAAAAACATAATTCTTGCTATTTCATTATCTCTTTTGTGTCTGCAAGGCTGTGATAATCTGAGTCAGGAATTTGTGATATCCTTGGATGCTGATGTAGGACACCAGCAGCGGAAAGCCATTCGTTCTCTCTTACCACACAGTTGACGTCCATGCCGGCCTCCAGCAGCGTGTGCACGGTGCTGTGGTGTCCATTGCGAGCGGCCAGGTGGAGCGGAGTGTGTCGGCGCGTGTGACTAGTCATGAGGTTGGGGTGAGCGCTCACCAGCATGCACACCACCTGCGCACACAAACACAGCAAGTCAGGAGAATAACAGCAATGTTTGGGGGAACTGGGACACCTTTTTGAAAGAATAAAACAACAGTAAACAATGTTTGAAGTTTTTCTGAGAAACAGTAAGTGTTTCAGCCCCTGAGAATCAAAGAGAAGCACTGTAAAGTTATCTGAGCCAGAGAGAAATAAATACAGCAGACAAAGAAATGCTGCATCAAGCAAGTCCATAATACATTTACATTTTCACCCAGCATACAGAATAATAATAAAGCGCCAGAAAGGAGCTCAAGTGAGAAGGATTTACTTAAGCCATTTATGTTCCGTGTGAAGGATTTGGAGGGTGGGGTCTGTTTATCCTTATAAAAACTGAAGAGGAAGACTGTAAGAAATGTATGAAACAAATGTTTTTATCTGTTTTAGGTTAAGCCCAAAACAGTAGCAGCTAATAGTGTAAAGAAACCAGCGTTAAAGTCAGCTGGATACTCAGTTTTTAACCAAATTACTTTAGCATTGTAAACCTAGTTAGCTTTTATTTACTTACATGTGAAATCAATAGCTACTGTATTGGATAAGAAATGACGATACATTCGAATGATAAATATGCCACCATTATGTTTTTAAACCTCAAGTTGTCAGGTTATAATGAGAGCTAAAAGCAGAGAAAAAAATGTGGTCATCTGAATATAAAAAATGTGTATTCAGTGTTGGGTTTTTTCCAATCGATAATTAATGGAAATATACAGTAGGTCTGTTTCATTTGTTATTCTGTAATATACAGCACGTCCTTGAATTAATACACCTGTCAATCATCTTGGGTATGATAGGAGGCTGTCAGTCAGTAGTGGAGTAGCCCTTTGTTTGATGGTCATCACACAGTTCTCTCCAAAGCTACTTCCTTTAATGTATTTCTCCATGTGTGTGTACAGTCAACTTTTGCCCCGTGTTAGTTACATCTCCGAGCTGCAGCAGCTTCCACCACAGGGATTTCCCTTCATTATGATGCAGAGAGCGAGAGAGAAACACCGCTGCCTTTATTAATTATTCATTCACGCTCAGACAAACCTGTGTGGCTTGACTGCAATTACTCATACCTCAGCAGAGAGGATGTGTGATTGCATTTGAACATCAGCAGATGCTCGTGGCATAGTGAAAGGTGTGTGTATTCTTTGATACATTTTAGTAGTGGTGTAAAGTAACTAAGTAGATTTACTCAAGTTCTGTACTTAAGTATAATTTTAAGGTACTTCTACTTTACTTTTTCAATGTTAAGCTACTTTGTACTTCTACTCCACTACGAATCAGAGGTTTATAGTGTACTAAAAGTACACTACATTTATTAAATTCCTTTAGTTACTTCGCAGATTTTGTTTAATGATGTGAAATATAATCAACTCTTAAATCAGACACCCCCCCCTGTTGTCCTGGGGAAGGTACAGATTGAGTCACCAGCTGCTTCCTTTTCCCTGCCAGCGAAGACACATAATGTATGCAGAGGTTCACTTATGCTTCTCAAGGATCCCACCCTCTAACCAGTATAGAAAAGAAAATGATCCCTCACCAGCTCCCCACTGAGTTTGTGTTATCGGAGCCAAGTGACACCAGTACTAATAAGTTGTGTCCACATTGTAACTGGCTTTTTTATGATTACATTTTCATTGCAAATTAAATGTTATTAGGGGCGTTGTGCCCTTATAGCAGCTGGTAGCGGACGCTTGTGTGACATTCTCATTTATTTCAAAGGTTTGAATCATTTTTAGGTGACTTTTCATCCAGTATATGGAGATTTGAGCTTCTCCCCTTTAGAGGTATTGAAAGGTCAAGTCTAACAAGGTGAGATATTACTTGATCTCTCTTGACATTAAATTGAACAAAAAACTTCCAGGTAGAAGTTTGAGATTTAATTTAAGGAATGTCTGGATTGGATGGTGTTTGATGATTGAACTTTTGTTTAAATATTTGTAACAACTATATTTACTGGGCATTTCATGTGTTGTTGGATTCAAATATTTTATATTAGAAGATAAAGTCTTTATGGTCTTTGTTTTCCCCAGCTCCAAAAAAGGTAATGTTGAACGTTTTCTGGACAACAATGTAAGGTTAGTTACGACATTACAATACTCTTGGAATTTTGAAAAACCAGACCAGCCTTTTGCGTCAGATTACCAAAATGTGAACTGAATATTATCATACCTAAAACATACTGAAAAAAATTCTGCTGTACCTTCTATTAAGGGTGAAAAGGGACAAATGGGAGCTTTTAAAGATAAAGCTATTTTTGCAACTTTAATGCAAAACAAAATGCATCTGGTGACTTGCAAGCCATCTGCCTGAAAAATACTTTTGGTACAAGGATGTACATTTTAATAAATACAGATAAGGTCCTTGATATTTTGGCAACAATAAGGATATTAATAGAAACTGAAGAACATCTTAAAAGACTTCGGCCTTTGTATTGTAAATAATATACACATTCTGCTATTCATTTCACCATGAAAAGAACATATTTGTCATTTTTACTGACCTGTAGCCGGCCGTACATGGCGGCCAGGTCCAGAGGGGTCTCCTGTTGGCTGTTCCTCATGGTGGGGTCGGTAAGCTCCTGAAGCAGCACTGACACCACCTCAGAGTGACCGTACTGCGCCGCACAGTGCAGCGCCGTCTCCCGCTCATGGTTCTGTGACAGAGGGAGAGGTGAGGAGGAAGGGGGATGAGGAAACAGGTGGGAGTGGATGTAGGAATTATAGGAATAATGAAGAGAAGGAAAAAACATCAGAAGAATAGAGCGAGGAGGCAGAGAAGGGGAAAGGAAAGAGGTAAGTGATGGAAGCAAGGGAGAGTTAAAGAGGGAAGTGGTAAAGGATGGAAAAAGGTGATGGAAGTAGGGATATAGTTTGTGGTGATTAATGGAATGGAAAATAAGAGAGTGAGAGTAGGGCATATGTGGGTGAAAGTTTTGAGATAGAGAGAAGAAAAAGGGGGAAGAGCAGTCAGTCTTACGTATCTGAACACAAACACAAGGTGAAATTCAAGATGGAAAGCTACACTCTGTGCACAGGTTTCTGCTACACATATGAAGGACATGTCTCGGTCAGTACATCATTCTGCATGTAAAATACCAAAAGCGTGTCAGGTTTGTGAGCGCTGTCAGGGGGAAATCTATAGCTTCCTGTCAGAGGAATTGAAGAGATGGCCAAAAGCAACATTTCTTTCCTCAAACCCTTTGTGCTTTTTAGCTCCAACACTTTACTCACCACTTACCCGACTGAAGTCAGCTTCCATTCAACTGCTCAATCACCATAATGATAAAAAAAACTACCATAAAAAAGGAGTTTGTACCACATATCAATCAAACAATTAATTTCTTTAAACTTATTTATCAGAAGTACATTAAGCGTACACATTACCCAGATATAAGGGTCTCTTATGGCGCATTTCCACTGCAGGGCCTCGCACGGCTTGGTACGGTATAGTTAGGCGGGGCCTTGGTAGGCCAGGCTCACTTTATGCTGCGTTTCCATTACAATTTAGTAGCTGGGGCAGTAACTATAGTAACGCAGTGTAGGCGGAGCCGTGACGTCATCATCAATGCGAAACACCAAACCAACATCAGCCGTTAGCTGTTAGCACTCAAGCTCACAGCTCCTCATATCTGTTCAGAAACTAGACACAAGTTAAACAAGTACAAACCACAGACTGACTGTATTTATGTCTGTATAGGCCGTTGTTGCGAGTGTGGACGGTCGGAGCATATACAACGTTAGCTTAGCCGATCTCCATTCAGAAAACACGCATTTTAAAAGGTTTTCACCTGCCATCTGTCTGCAGACTTCATGGTTTTTACTAACCGGTATCAGTATGTTGTTACTTCGGCACAAACCATATACACGTCAAGTATCGACTGTCTACTTATAAAGGTTCAATACTAGTTCTTGTTGTGTCTAATTAGAGACGTACCGGGCAGAGTGATAGGAGGAAAGAAAAGAAGAGGACCAATACTGATAGCTTCAGTACAGAGAAAAAAGGAGAAGTACCCACAGGAGACGAGTCGAAAGGGGTGTATAATCCCGCGACAAGGGTCTCGACGTTCCTTGGGGTCCCTGGTGGTTGTCACAGAACAGGACTCCCGGGAGGCGCTTGGTCTGTTATCGGTGTCGAGGAGATTTGTAATCTCGGAGGGAGACCCTTTATTGCATAAATTCCTCTTGTCAGAGAGCACTTTGTAAAATTCCGGTGTACGGACCGAAGGATAGAGAAATAGTACGAGGACCCCCTTAAACCCAATAAACTTTAACAATCAAAAGTCCTCTTGACAAAACAAAACAAAAACAAAAAAGTGTACTGAACCTTTACGTCTCCCTATTACAAAGTAACCCGGAATCCGTAAAATTCTTTCTTACATTTATTAACAGTTTACCGCATAAAAGTGATGATAGCCATGACGTCTATAATATTCAAAATGGTATTGACATTAACATGATGTCTATTCCTGCTGTTATTCTGATTTTTTGCAAAGCTATTTATGACATTGTAATTACCGGCGTAAAGGTGATGTCACGCTCGCTCCAAATTCGCGCCTGGTGCGTCCGGGCAAAAAACCAACGGCCAAAGGTGCATCCGCATCAAGGCCGATCGTCAAATGAAATGAAAAAGTGTCAAAAGACCGAGGAGGTTTTAGCTCCAAGAAAGGCCCGGTTGTTGGTGCCGACTCCAGACCGACTCATACGATTTGAATCCTCTCTTAGGCGACCGTCCCCCCGATTGTTGATGTACCGTGATGTCTACTTGTATAAACTGGCACTAAATTAACATATCGTCATTGATGTGC